CATATTTGTTTTCCTACCCTGACAGATGTAGGTCAATCACCAGATTCAAGCTTCCACTTAGTTTTTGGCAGATTAAACCAAACCCTTTGTTTATATTGAGCACATATCCACATTTCAGTTGCAAATCAATGTATTTGGAAAACTACCGGAGTAAACTCTTAAACTGCACCACTTGATATAGTTCAGGATAACCTTTTTATATGTTTTTTTTTGTCCCCATTATTGTTTTTACAACTGGTCCAAAATGCTGCAGCCCGATTTTTAACTGGTACAGGCAAAAGAGCACATTACACCAGTTCTGGCCTCCCTGCACTGGCTCCCGGTTCACTCTCAAAATCAGTTCAAAATCCTTCTGTATGTTTTCAAATCGGTGAACATTTCTGCCCCCTCTTATCTCGCTGATCTGCTGCAGCCATATGTCCCACAGCGCTCTCTGAGGTCAGCAGACCAGATGTTTCTATTAGTTCCAGGAACCCGTCTTAAGCTCAGAGGTGACAGGGCCTTCTCTGATGCAGGTCCAAGATGGTGGAATGACTTACCACACTGCACGTAAGGCAGGATCCCACTTTCACAGTTTTTAAGTCACGTAAAATATAATAAAAAAAACTTTTACACGCAGGCTTTTGACACTGTGTGAGTTGATTTTAACCCGCCTGTATCCTTCAATGTTAGCCATTTACCAAAATTTTCAGCCTATAAGTCACGCTTTTTTTGCATAATTTGCATGCCCTGCAATTTATAGGCCAAAGTAACGTATTTATGTATTTTTCCCTAAATTTATAAACCAATTTTTGGCTGAGATATGACCGTTTTCATTCATTCTGACTACAAAAAAAAGTACAATTTTCAGTCACTAGATGGCAGCAGAGTAGTAGTAGCAGTATGGCATGTGGTTATATCATGTAATTAATAGGTAAATGTGGCTATAATGACAAATTCAAAAAAGTTCAAGACAAAAACAACTGGACTTTCTTTATTATACTTTATTGTTTTTGTCTTGGAACTTTTTTTAATTTAACAAGTCCTGGATGACTGAGAATCTTCACAAGCTATTAATGACACAATCGGCTTGCCCTTGTACACCCACCTTTATTCTGCTTGAAGCAACCGTCAAACCAGCTGCACCACCCTGGCAAAATGCAGCTAATATGACCATTAAACTATATTTATTAAGTAATAGTTCAACTGAGACACATCTTTGCTATAATTTTGAGCAAATAAATAAATTGTTTTTATGCGTTTATCTTGTTAAATTTCGAAGAAATGAACAGCGGCTCATCCCTCTGCGCGTGCTCTCTTACGCAAATCGGATTTTAAAATGCAGCTGATTTGACCGTCAAAGTGCATTTATTAAGGAAAAGTTAGACTGAGACACACATTTACTATAATTTCAAGCAAACAAATAATTGTTTTTAAGTGTTAACCTTGTTAAATTCTTGTTAAAGTCCTCCTGTGCACGCTCCCGCGGCCACCATTTGTCAGCCCATCGATTTTTGGCACATCCGCCCACATTTCCAGGTTGTCAGTGGTGACGCATTATAGATGTGACATATACTAAGTGACACATTTATGCATTGTTCCACTTTATTATTTGGACTGATGCGACTTATGTGACGTGTACGGCGGAAAATGCGGTAATCTGTTTTTTTATCCTGTGTGCTTTGCTTGTTTGTTTCTGCTGTACAACACTTTGGTTGGTGTTGTTGCTGTTTTAAGTGCTTAATAAATAAAGTTGTATGGTATGGTATGTTTAATTTAATAGTTTGCAACCAATGCCTTTAACACAATTATTTAAGAAATGCCCAAGATGCTAAAAATTCTGTCAGCTTCTTGGCAACCCAATGTATGTCTATATACTAACATTTACAGACCTTGAAATAAACAGAACTCATCAGCAGGTTAGATTACTGTATTTTTAGTTTACATTGTGATGACGATATCCCTATAAAACACTGTACTGTGAAGGGCTAACATAAACTTTACACTATATGTGCAGCCTGAATAATGAGACCCCGTGACACTTTAGTGATGACACACCAGTTCAATGTGTCAGGACAATCAGCGTTTAGATGTCGGGGGAAGAATGCAGGACTATGGGCCACCGATTCACTGGACACGATCACCTGCGAGTGAATCAACTCATAATTCTTCCCACCTGAAAGAACGAGTTCAACCTAAAGTCAGGCCTCTCTGATGTCATCCCTGCCTCAGGTTGAGTTTCACAATAATCTCAGGCTCTTGGAGGAAAGCTATCCAGTCCAGCTTCCTCAGCCGACATTTCTCCAATTAAATTGCGAGGTAAGAATAACACTTGAAACATTAGAGGCCTGCTTTTTTTTATAGAGAGAGAAATTAAGCTAGTGTTTGCAATCACTCACTTCCACAGTATCGGTCATCTCCAGGTTGAGGCGCGCTACGAAGTACGCTGAGGCCACCTACTCTGGGAGCAAGCAAACCTTTTCCTGTTTTTCACCTCAAGTTTCTAAAATTACATGTTTATCTTAAAATGGAATGGAAAATTTGGCACTTTAAGAACTAGATGAAAGATAAGAATGTAACAGAGAAACAGGCCAGCCGCAAGGATCAATAGTCTCATGGAGACGTTTTATCTTCTCCTAAATAATGCTCATTTTGAGCCTCCTTGCTTCCCCACTCTGGACAAAAACCCTTCATGAAATTTCTTTTCTTCACCCCCATCCATCTACTCTGCATCTCCACAACCTTGCTCGTTTCTCTGCAATGAACCTCAATCTTTTTTTAATTTATTGTGAAACTCACATGTCGGACAGTTGCAAAGAAAATATACAGCGCGAGTGGAAAAATGAAGGTATTTGAAATGTTTATATATAGAGCTGGAAAATGGGGACTGAAATCACTCCTGTTATGGTTTTTCACACTGGGTCTTAAACAAGACGTTCTTATCAGCAAATGTCCAAAGAGGGAAGAAAAAAAAGTTGGTAATATAAATGCCAGGTGTGGAAGTATACGTTTGTGGTGGAAATAATTTACGTAGAGTCAATTTAAAAGTGAGTTCAGCTACTTATCAGACAGATTAGTAAAGGGTTGGTTGTCACTCGTCCAACCACTTTGCTCACAGTATGACACCATCAAACCGCAAACTAAACTTTGTTAAATTGAAAAATGGAAACTTCCAAAACATCCAGCAACTCCCCTCCCCGTTGCATGAGTGCAGAGACAAAACAGTGGACCATAAAGAGAGAAGGGTGCATGAAGAGCGCCAGTAGATCCCAGGGCCAGGGAGAGAAAGTAGGGAAAGTAAACCTTTGATGAGTAAGACTTTTTTTGTTAAGCGTTGGAGCTTAACTTTAAAATATTCTGGGTGGCAGTGAATGGGGGATTGACCAAGGGCCCTGATCTCAGCCACACACTGGGGCACTGGGGTTAATAGTGGATAAAGATTAGGGGGAAAGGGTTGCTTTCCTTGATTTCCATCCACCCCCACAGCCCACTATCCCATTTTCACCATCTGCACCAATCCCAAATGAGCTACACAACGGAGGCTACCAATAGGGAGCAATCCAAGTCCCCTTTGATTTTTGCCTCTACCCCTCCGTTTGCTCTAAGCACCCAGGGTAAAGACCCGTGGAGGTTTGTCCACTCAGGGATGACAGTTAGCAGGCTCAGAGAAACCATATGGGGATTGAAAATGGAACGACAAGGAGCCTCTGATTTACAACAAGAAATTAAGTTCGAACTGGAAATGTGAGCAGAGGGCTGTTCAGTCCAAACTGCAGTATTTTTCAAAGTAACCTAAGATTTATATGCCTAATTGCTGTAGATTTATTTCTATAAATGTATATTATAAAAGTGTTTACAGATGATGTATGACTTGAAGTGTTGGGGCAATTATACTTTTTAATAAATGATTAGAAAGACTTCTTTGAGCCAAAAGATATGCAGTATGGGTTCATCTTTTGAAGATTTAACCGAGTACTAGATAAATTAAGAACTAATATTTAAATCTCTTTTAGGTGGAAGAGGGAATATGGACTCCGCTGTACTCCGGAAAGTCAAGACTGCTGGGGAGGTCAACTTGGTCTATTGCTAAGTTACTCTGTGTCTTTATTTCTGCCTAAATTTCCCCCTTATATATTTATCCAACCACAGTTTATACTTTATCTGCTTCAAGAATACTAACATTGATTAGATTAATTGTTTAATACCTTCATTATAGGGAAAAATAATGCAATGATGGGCATAACCAAGAGTGCATAGAGAAGAAAGGTGGCAAACGACCATTACTCATTGCCTTTAGTTCATATTCTACATTTATTTTCACCATTTTTGGAGCTCTAACAACTGGAAATAAGTATAAATATACTAATATTCATGTACTATGGATGCCAAGGTATTTATAAGAGATTCACTGACTGGAATAACCCACTGTTAATTACAGTGAAACTAAAATTATGGTTCCAAACACTGGTTCTTGAGGAACACCATCCTGCATGTTAGTTGTTTCCCTGCTCCAACACTTGATTCAGTGATTTAATTACTTCATCAAGTTCTGCAGAAGCCTGTTAATCACCCGTTCCTTCAAATCAGGTGTGTCAAGCAGGAAAACAACTAAAACGTGCAGGATGGTGTTCCTCAAGGACCAGGGTTGGGAACCACTGATTTATACTACACAACTCAAGATTCTTCACCTTCCTGAGTTAACCTACCAGATAACGAACCCCAATTTAATTAGATGAGTAAAATAAAATTAAAAAATGATGAAGAGCAAATTGTGTTGAGCCCTATCTTTAAGCAAATAGCAATTTATAATTATACAGCAAGAATAACACTTAAGCTTTGTTTAATCTAATTTTGGTGGTTTAAAATAATGTGAAAAGTTGCAGATTTAAGCTTTTAATAATCTAAATATAAAACATTTTTTCCTTTTTTACAAAATATCTATTTCACTAAAGGTAAAGTCCATTAGTCCACGATCACAAAATCAGGTATGCAAGAAAAACACTGAAAACTGATTTACTTACCACTTTGTGCCTCACGCTGCTTGTTGTCTTCTTTTTTCTACGGGCACAGAGTGAGCATATTTCATCCTAGAAGAGAACAAGAATAGGTCTAAAACATGACACAAAACACTGATGACTAAAACCTGCCCTTGCTTTTTCCATCTTCCCTTCCATAACCTCTATTCGTTGGACTTAGTCGAGTTTTGCATCAAATCCTAATCGAGACGTCAACAATAAAAACACAAAACCTCAAATCTGAGCTTGAGTGCATTTGCCCACCAGAGTGCATATCATAACTTCTAAGTGAGAGTAGATTGAAAATCCTTGGGGTGTGAAGACCAAACAGGCCCAACTGAGAGGTTGCCCAGCAGAGGGGGAATTCTATCAATGTGGACAAGATGAAGATTTGTTACATTGGAGGAGAAATGGGAACCCCGTGACCCCAACATTCACCTAAACGCCATAAAAACTGCAATACTGACAAAAAGCTGGGGGAATTTTACTATATTTAAGCAACTAAGGCTTTGAACGTCTTTCATTATGAATAGTAACATCTTACAGGTTTACGATTTGACAGATGGACAAGAAGGGACAGATACAGATACTTACCCTGAGGGAGAAAACTTGCTGTTGTTGTTGTTCGTCAAAGGGTGAGGTATGAGTCCAGCGATGTCGGCTCACTAAGACAAGGAAGAAAAAAAAAAATTAAACTAGAACAAATCCATTAATTTCTTCCTTTAACACATTCACCGCTGTTGCAAACAAGTGTGGGCTAGAAAGTGCATTGCATAACTATTTTCTCTATGCTGTGAAGGTGAAAGCAATAAATTTTGAAACAACAAAGTGCACCTGGATTTTGCTGTGAAGCTTGAGTTTGTGTGTGTATATTTAAGTGCATGCACCAACAGGCAATGTACAATAGAAGCACAACAGCAGCCCCCCCAGTCCGCACACACTGCTCCCTCCCTCTGAAGTTTAAAGGTGCCGTGCCTGCAAGGCTCAAGCTCTCGGTGCAAAGTAAATCACACTGTTAACCTGACATGATTGATTTTCTCATGTACCCCCATTCAGCTGCCTTCGCTGAAACGCACGTGCTGCACAGTATGAATGATTCTCTTTCTTTGTGTGCGCGTTAAATGCAAGAACGGCAAGAGTGCACAACGCAACTGCAGCTACTCACGGCTGTGGACGTTTTCCTGCACATGCATCAAGTTTAAAAAAAGGAGACTGCTTAAGAGAACGAAGGAACTTCTGCTGCTGGGAGTACGAGGGGCACACAAAGTGGGCTGGATGTTCCTTTCTGAGATGCATGTGTGCTTCCCTTTTATTCTCCCAGAATCCCAATGACCCCTACAGGCAACCAGCGGCTGCTGAACGCTGAGGAATGTGCTCTCTGAACTGTACAAAAAAGCCCTCAGCTCGAAAGGGAACAGCTGAAAACAAAACATGCCAACTGCTATAATTTTTCACCGTTGTGGAAAACGTTGCACTGACTGCTCTGCAACCTTTACTCAAAAGCAAGAAGTGGAGGGGGGTGGACGGACACCGGTGGACTTCATGTTTAAGAATTAGCTTATACTTGTGGGATGACCAAATATTTTAGTGATGTACCATATTTTTCGGACTATAAGGCACACTTAACATACTTTAATTTTCTCAAAAATAGACAGTGAGTTCAATAATCAGGTGCACCTTGTGTATTAATTCTGGGTGTGCTTACTGACCTCGAACCAATTTTACCGTATTTTCTGGACTATAAGTGAAACTTTTTTTTTTTCCATAGTTTGGCCAGTCCTGTGACTTAATAATCTGAAGTGACTAGCATACGTTTTTTTCCTATTCATGACGCAACTTTTGACTGACGCGTTAAATGTTCATTCATACTGACATGAACCAAAGAGTAAACATTACCATTTGCAGCCAAGAGAGGGCCCGCTAGGCTTTTGACAACTATATGTTGTTCCTTTACCGCTACGCCCCCCCACTCCAAAAAATAAAAAATAAATCACTTAAGAGACAACTCAGAAATACTTAAAACGAGTAAACAAAACGTGACATGGAATGAGATTGGTAAATTTACCGGTAACTTGCTTGTTGGACTTGTTGGCTTGTTATGTTAACTAAGCCTGTTTAGGTTACCAGGTATGTTCTGTGTGTTATTATTATTTCAGATTAAATGTCTATTCTTGCACTTTGTGAAACGCATTTCTAAATAAATGCGACTTAAACTCCGAAGTAACTTATATATTGTTTTTTCCCTCTTCATGAGAGATTTTTTGACTGATGTGACCAGAGCGACTTATAGTCCAGAAAATACGGTATGTGGTTATTGTGAATGAGTTGAATAAAGTTTGACTTATCAGACTGTTTTGATTCGCTTAATGCGCCTTATGATCTGGTGGGACTTGTGTATGAAAACAGACCCGTTCATCGATATTGCACCTTATAATCCGGTGCACCTTATAGTCCGAAAAATACGGTAATAAAACAGTTTCAAATGTCCTTTAGCTCCAATGTAGACTTCAACACCTCTGGGCTGTGCAGATGCCATAATTTATTTACTAGAAAAGCATTCGGCATGCTATTAGTCCATATGACCTCCAATTTGTGGGGATTTACAAATACCACACATCTTCATGCCAAATATAAAACCACTGGTAAATTCTATCAACTTATAAATATGGCCAATGCATTCAAGTATTCATGAAGGCCTGCTAATGCTATAGGCTAATATTTACATAAAGAACCTGCACGCTTAGTCAAGATAAACTATTTAAGACCTAGACCACAAATACCTCTACAGTGCAGAAAAAGGAGGGCCCTGCCATGAAAGAGGACATTATGCTAACAAGTCAGATTACTGTACACAATAACTTTATCTTAAAAGTAAATACCATCCTTGGTGGGGTGTTACGGAAAGTCACAAGCAATATTTCTGTGGGGACCAAATGCTCCTTATCAGCATTAGTCGAGCAATTCAGGCCCGCCCGAAGAAAGATGAGTCTTCAAACTCATTCTATTCATGGTCAGACGTGTAATTACCCTCAGCTCACAGTCTAGACGCAACCGCTTTCACAGTATTTAAGACTCCCCCCCCCCCCCCCCCCAATGCAACGCACGGACGCTCTCTCCTACCGCCAAGCCCCGCACGTTAAATCTGTGGGCAGATAAATTAGCAAAGAATGCAATAAAATAGACACAATGAGGGGAACTTTATCCTCCCCGCTGCTAAATGAGATTTCTTTGAAATGCAGATCAGTGGCTCTAGATTAGTGAATTTTAGCTGCTGTCAACATCATAACAAAATACAAATGCGATTGTTCGCCGCTGTCTTATCTCCTTGCTTCCATCTGCTGGCTGCTTATTTACTCCCCCTCCCCACCTCGATTTACTATGCAGATCTAAATAAGTCGCATCAAAAGGAGGGCTTACTGCACAATGCCTTCTTAAGCTTCTACATCAAGGTATTTGAAAAACCGGTAGTCACATGAAAAGGCTGCCCATCAAAGGCACATCTCTAATGAACTCTCCCATATCAGAGGGGGCTAGTGGGGCCTGGCTTTAATGCCTTCTGTGTGGTGAGAGAGAAGCAGACCTGCAAGACAGACCTACCAAGCCATGGCAGTGGAGGAGGAGGAGGAGGAGGAGGAGGAGGAGGGCCTCACCTATCAGATGAGATTAGCTCAGAACTGGAGCTAGCCTTCAATCCATCTACATTTTAAATCAAGGTTGAAGGTGACACTTAATGGAAAGCGGTACAAGAAACTTACAGAAGTACAAGAATGGCATTTTGTCTCATTGTTTTGCGTTCACTTGTACATAGTTTTAAATATTTTTGAAAGCTGATTCCAAAGTGATAAAAGTCTTGAAAGTCGCCTTTACATTTTGGTGTATACATCTAAAACGCAACTTTTTGAAAACGATGGCACAGTCCCACCTCCTGTCTAACTTACAACCCAGAGCGGGACAGACGTAACAACCAAAATGAGGGATTACATCTCCTGAGCCATGCTCAGTAATTCAGGTAGAAAAATCCAACAAGGTTAAGTCAGGTCCTCTGGACAGATTCTTCTTTGTTGAAACGTTTCATCTTTTGTCCAAAATACTTCATCAGTCTGAGGAGCTGCAATAAACTCAGTCTTATTTATTTATTAACCTTTATTTAACCAGGCAAATCCCTTTAAGATCACAGATCTCTTTTGCAAGGGAGGCCTGAGTCTGAAGGCAGCCCAACATGCATGTTGTTGAACAGTGGGAGGAACCAGAGTACTTGGAGAAAGCCCACACAGGCACAAGAAGAACAAGCAAACTTCTCACAGAAAGACTCCTGGTCCAACCGGAGATTGAACCCAGGACCTTCTTGTTGTGAGGAAACAGTGCTAACCACTGAGCCGTTGCGCTGATACTAGCAATAACAGCATTGTAAGACGGAGACTGTTGGACACGGAGATCTCCACTCCTGTTTAAGGATGGATGGGTTAGTCATCTTTGTGAAGAGAAACCATCCATCGTTAAACAGGGGTGGAGGCCTCCGTGTCCAACCGTCCCACTCTTACAATGCTGTTATTGCTAGTATCACGCAACCCTCTGTCAATAGCAAGCAGCCATCAGGGTGCTAAAGATCGGTTGTTATGCTGATGGTCCTCCTTTTGCATGTGAACAGCTAGTTTTGGCTGTCACCAGCAAACTGGTTGATCCTCTATGAGAAGGTGGAGTCTTTCAAATGAAAGATGAAACTCCAAAAAGAAACCGCCCAGATGACATGATTTAACCCTTTTTTGTGTGCTATTGATGAGACAAAGTTTGTTTCAGTGCCTCAGACTGATGAAGTCTTTTGGATGAACGACCCAATGGTTCAACAAGAAGTGTTAGACTGATTACATGTTTGTGTTGAAGATGCTCAACTACAGCAAAATCCTTCGTATGCTACATTACTTCGAGGCTGATTAACAAAAAAAAAGTTGGAGTCTCTAACACATTTGATTGTTGTACACATGCTCCGTGCCTTGTGTCCTGTTTTTGGTACATATTTGTGACACCTTTACAGCGCCACACACAGGCTTGGCACTGTTACTTCATCATTTTGAGTCATTTTCCTTGACTCCTTGTGGCTGAAACATTTCTAGTAGATGTGGTGTGTTTGAGGTTTTTTTAGGGATGCACGATATTATCGGGATGGTATCGGTATTGGCCGATATTAGCGTTAAATTTCAATATTGGACATCGGCCATTCCATCAAAATAACTTACCGATATAAAAGGCGTTTTTGTATGACAACCCAGTGACAAGGATGCCTGCAGCGGCAGCACAACGTGATGACATCACGCGTGCCTACCTGTTCTGATCATGGCAGAGAGGAAAATTCAAAATGTCGGCGGTGTGCAAGGTTTTTTTCGTTGAAGATTTTGGATTCTGAAGATTTTTGGACTATGTTGAGCCTCGCTACATCGTCTCCAGTCTGAGATATTTTTCTATCGTAACGTTACCCGAGTTACAAGCCGTCATTTCCGATGTCATTGAGAAGCTAATAGCCGATAGCACTTGGGTGAGTTTGACCACAGACATTTGGACGTCATGTTAGCCCCGTTGGCATGATTAGTCTTACGACACAATGGATAGAGAAAAACTGTGAACTTAAAAAGGCTGTCCTTCATGCACCAGAGTGCAGAGGATCCCACAC